TCAATTCCTGGTATCTCCAGGTGAAAAGAAAGTGGCCAGGAGACAATGGGAAAGGTCGCTGTCTGAGAATTGAGAACTACAATCAGTTTCGAGTACATAGAGCCAGGGTGGTGTAGTGGTTTGAGTGTTAGACTATGACTCTGGAGTCCAGGGTTTGATTCCCCACTCGGCCATGGAAACACACTGAGTGACCTTGGGCAAGTCATACTCTCTCAGCCTCAGGGGAAGGCAATGGCAAATCTCTTCTGCACAAATCATGCCAAGAAAACCCCATGATAGGTTTTGCCTTAGGGTCTCCCTAAGCCAGAAACAACTTGAAGGCACACAGTAACAACAAATAAACAAACAGGCACATGCAGGGAGCATTTTGGTCTCCTATACACTCCTATCTCAACAGATATCAAGAACGTAACAGAGAGGCTGTGGTATGAAACTGCTGACCTAGAATTTATGAGCAAATTATTACGGTATATATTCAGAGCCAGTGTGGTGTAGTGGTTTAAGCATTAGACTATGACCAGGGTTCAAATCCCAGCTTTGCCATGGAAATCTGGTGGGTGACCTTGGGCCTGTCACACACTCTCAGCCTCAGAGGATAGCAATGTCAAAATCCCTCTGGAGAAACTCACAAGAAATCCCTGTGGCCTTACAGTTGCCATGAGTCGAAAAAGACTTGAAGGCACACAACAACAACAAAGTACCTATTCATGATAAATCAGCTTTGTTGCCCCTTTCTCTATTACAGCCATTAAGTTAGCAAAGCTAGAAAAATCAACCACTACTTTGGGGAACTAGTTCTATTTTTTTATACCTCAAATATAGTATACACCCCTGGCATTTCATGACCATTTGTTTACAACACACCTTTCCTGCTTTATCTTGTATGTGTTTTATGTGTTTGAAAATATACCAGATTTTAAGGCTCTGTTCCTGGATTTCTTAGCCCCAGAAGCAAGGCTTTCATGGTAATGTGAAGGCAGAACAAGAGAACTAAGGGGAAAGGAGAACCTTCCCTTATTGGGAGCTGGTTGTATAGCTGCTGCTGATCTCTGAATAAGGCATGGAGAGAGGCAGGCCTGGATCAAGCCAGCATCCGCCTTCTTGGTTACCTGTCCTCTTCTTCCATTCAGGGCTATCTCTTACAGGACTATTTTATGGAAACAAGAGCAGTCATGTTATATCAGCAGCTTATTCTTATCCTTCTATCCTGGTTGCTAGCACTTCCAACATGGCAGGTATCACAGGGCTACTGTGATCATAGCTGTCCTTTCCACATGCCTATCACAAATGCTTACATATTTAACAATAAATCTTCAGTTTAAGGAGGCACAAGGCTCTGTTCTCATATAACACTGTCAAAATGTACCATAATATAATAGTGTATCAACATAAATTGTGTGTTGTTTGTGTGCACATGTCTTCAAGTTGCCTGTCAACTTATGTCAACCCCATGAATACCATACAGATTTTTTTTTTCTCTAGGGCAAATTGCTTTGAGGGAAAAATTCCAGACCAATCTGAATATAAGAATTTACAAAGTATAAATTAAACTTTGTTACTTTTAAAACTGTGTATATATGAACTAATCTATTTGCTTCAAGTACTTCCACATTATTATTTTTTTTTTTTAAAAAAAGATCTCAAGTGCCTTCTGTCTCAAATATGAAGATACAATTAAAATTTTGTTAAGTCCTTATGCTCACCCATCCTTACTTTGGAAACCACTTTCATCCTACATGCAATAAGAGTGCCATCTAGTGTAAAGTATTAAAAACAGCACAGTTTAAACAAATCCTTGCGCTTCGGGGCAACTTTCATGCACCTTTCAGGTAATTTTTAAATATCTGCAGGATGTTTTGAGCTGACATGTGACTTTATATTCTTCTTAGTGAAAAGCAGAAGCAAGACTTGCAACTGTACTTCATTTCTCCCAGAAGCAAGACACTTTGTCTACATTAAAACAAACATAAATTATGAAAATACGCAAAGCAACTTGATTTGTTAATTAGATTGTTAATAAGGGTAAGTACACTATTTAAAATCATGTAACTCAACAGTGTGTCTGTGCAATCATGCTGGCCACATGATCAAAGAGTAGTCTCTGACAACGCTGGCTCTTCAGCTTAGTAACAGAGATGAGCACTACCCCCTACGGTTGGACACAACTTGACAACCTGGTCAGCAGGGAATACCTTTACCTTTTTAACTCATATATGCAGAATATAATGACAATAAATCAGTATATCCAAATTCACATGAAGTTCTAAATCCCTAGTCTCAATTAGAATACAATAGGCCCTTGGTATCCGCTGGGGCTTGGTTCCAGGACTCCCCCGTGGATACCAAAGTCCGTGGATGCTCAAGTCTCATTAAATACAATGACAAAGTGAAATGGTGTCCCCTATATAAAATAGCAAAATCAAGATTTGATATTTGGAATTTATATATTTTTGGAATATTCAAGCCATGAATAGCTGAATCCATGGAGAAAGAATCCATGGGTATGGAGGGACTGATTGTATTTTAAAATTCAGGAACACAGTATCCTCTCTCTCTTTTCATATATAAAAGCCAGTATTAATCACATTCTGAAAAACAGCTCCAAATGCTCCTTATGAAGCCCTTGTGTGGAATGAATAACCACATGTAAAACTGAGCACACGAGTGCCTTATATGTTCAAGGATACTGCATGCATAATTCCACTTGTCCCTTATATAAAATGGCAAAATTAAGGTTTGCTTTTTGGAATGTATAGATTTTTAAAATATCTTCAAGTCACGGATGCTAAAATCCATGGATATGGCTTTGACCAAATAGCTGAGGTCTATAATGGCTCAGGTCTAGGGGTTGTGCAGTGTGAAAATATATTAACATGGTTATACCTTTGAAAAATTTAAAATAGTATTAAAAACTGCTTGGGGCCATGTTGTGGAAAAGTAGGGGGGAGTGGGTTGTACAACACAGGCAGAAACCAGTCAGTACTAGTCATGCATAAATGGCATTCCTTATGAATAGAGAGCAGATGTTGGCCTATATTTAAGGGCAGAATTGTGCTGCCTTCCAGGTGCTATTGAACTGCAGCTCCCATCAGTCCTAGCCACCATAGCCCATGGTAAAGAATGTAGGAGCTGTGCTTCAGCGACCTCTTTTGAGTTCCTACCCCTGAATTAAATCCTGTTGGTTTTCCCCAGTTAGAGCAGACTTGAGAGCCAGAGTGGTGTAAACATTTGAACTCTGGACTACAAGGCTGGAGGCCAGGGTTCGAATCCTTGCTCCACCATGGAAACTCATTGATTGGCCTCAGGCAAGTCACAGTACTTTGCTATTGGGCTTACTTGGGTGAGTCTGAAATCCAAAACATCTGGAAATCCTAAGCTTCTCACTTTGACCTAGAGTTAACCAGAAATAAAATTTCCCTGATATTCAACAAAGAAAGGAAAAATGCAAACATGTGAAGTTACAGTTTTTTGTTAATTGCAGAAGAAGCTCTGCTGAATCAACAAAATGATAGCTTTGTTGAAAGATTCCCTTTATGTTCTCAAAATAGCTAAATTCTTTTAAAAGGTAAAGGTATTCCCCATTGACAAGGTTGTCAAGTTGTGTCCGGCCATAGAGGGTGGTGCTCATCTCCATTATTAAGCCAAAGAGCCAGCATTGTCAGAGACCACTCTGTGATCATGTGGCCAGCATGATTGCATAGAACACTGTTTACCTTCCCACTGAAGTGGTACCTTTTTATCTATTTGCATTTGCATGCTTTCGAACTGACAGATTGGCAGAAGCTGGGACTAGTGACAGGAGCTCACCCCATCATACAGCTCTCGGGCCTCGAACTGCCAACCTGCCGATCTTGCAATCAACAGAGTCAGCGACTTAACCACTTGAGCCACTGCATCCTGGTACTTTTTTGAATAGAAAACACCAAATAATAACTACCTTCTAGCAAAAGTGCAGTCAACTTCATTTACATGTATTTAGTGGTAAGGTATCTCACTTTTACAAGGCAAGAGCCTTACCAGCACAATTTAGTTATTAAACCACAACTAAAAAGCAAACTATATGCAGGGGTAGGCAACCTTTTTCAGCCCTGGGCCGGGTTGCTGTCCC